TACCTGAGGGTTTACAGAATCCGGATTAGCAAACGTGGGTTTCTACACAGCATCACCGAAGACTAAGACACCCAATTTACGGCAAAGGAGGAACAGTAGGGGCATACGACAATGGGACCAGGTGGCCCTAGCACGTACCGTACCAGCCAGAGGCTGGCGGCCTGCCACAGCTGCAGGAGCGTCTCAGCGACGCAGGTGGGGCGTCAGGGAGGACTCCCTGTGAGGGCAGAGTGCTGTCCTTCCAGATGCAGCATGTTCCATAAACCGACAGTTTTGTATGGTGCTGTGTCCCCAACAGGCCCATGAGAATAGGGTCTTGGAAGCAAGGGGTGGAAGTACCATCACTTGCAGTAACCCGCTCGAGGAATATCTCATCTCCTCAACTCCTGGTCCTGTGAGTCTGGAAGCCCTGATCCCCGAGGAAGACTTCTTGCACTTTGGAATACCATGGAAACACCACTGAACACACAGCTATGACTGCTGCCCAGTCACCCTGCAGTCCTCATGCCAAGACCAGAAGCAAGGCTGGGGGTCACCAGAGTGGCAAGATAACTGATCCTGATCTTTGGGAGAGGTTAGCTCCACTGCTTCTGCACAGCAGCAGGGAGACCTATGTTTGGACCTCAGGTGACCCTGCAGGGCATCTCCTGACACTACCGTGTTTAGCTTAACTCAAACACAGCAACCACAGAGTGCTAAGGATACCCTAGCCAGGGGTTCAGACCCCTCGGGGAAGCTAACAGCAGTGAGGGGGATCGAGAACAGGTAGATGGAGGGACCGGTGGGAGCCGTAGGAGCTGGAATGCATCCCAACTCTTTTCTGGAAGGTTCCTTGGGAATTATCACCACAGAGTCTTGGAGAAGTTGTACCTAGATGGAGTGAACTTAATTTTGAGAAGCAAGTAGACCTGAGTGGTTCAACGAGTAGGCTGCCATAGACACTGCCATGCACTCCCTGGGTCCCTTTTCTCAGGCCAGCATGCTTCCAACGCTGCTGGAATCTCTCAGCTGCTCCCCTCGCCCCCTGCTAAGTGGCCTCCATTGTAAACCCCCGCCCCCGCTGGGGTTGCCCACACTCAGTGACTGACTGGTAGAGACAAACCAGGCTGGCCCCTTTGCTCAGTGCCCGTAATGCCCCAGAAGCTTCCCACTGTGGTCTGGCCCCTGTGCGTTGCGCAAGATCACATCTTGCTTGGTTTTCTCCTTCCCTCTCTTGCTTTACTCCTTTCCTCCCCATCTTTTCAGAAAGAGCTCCCTCTCCCCTCAATAAATCACACCCTAGGCTCATTCAAATCCCTGTCTCAGGCTCTGCTTTTAGAGAACCCTCCCTAAGAGAGAGGTGGAGTAAAACAAAGCAGCAAAGACAGAGAGGGAGTGGGTGGGAACAGGAGGGAAGGTGACCTTTATCTTTAAATAGGTTGGGCAGGAAAGTCCTCCCTGGGAAGGTGACCTCTGAGAAGAGGCTTGAGGAAAGTGAGGGGCTGAGCCAGCAGGCTATCTGGGAAAAACGCTGACACAGGCACAAGTCCGGGGAGTTCCGGTCAGAGCGTGGAGCGTGGCTGGAGTGGCACGAGCAGGAAAAGAATGCCAGAGATGCGTCGGTGAGATTCCTCACAGCCCTCCAGATCTGGTGGGGTCTCAAAGGCCATGGAAGACACTGAGTTTAGGCTTTAGACACTGAGTTTAGAGGCTTTAACTCTGAGTGAGACGGGAAACCGTGGGAGGTTTTGGGCAGGGAAGAGACAAGATCTGACTTTGCTTTAATAGAATCACCCTGGCTGCAAGGGTGGGAACCAGGTTGCCTGAGGCTGTGCAGGCCGAAAGTGCACCGTGCCTCGGTGCCTCGGCAGTGGAAGCCCAGGCTCACCTGTTCTCAGTCTGCTCACACAGCTGCCTTTGTCCCTGCAGCAGACAGTGTACAGAGTTTCAATACACAATCGCTGAGTGCTGAGGATGGGTACAACTCAGGGGCTGGTTCCATACCTTTAATGGAAAATGTAAATACTTGAAAGACCAGGTTCCCCCATCCCCAGTCTCCCTATGAGAAAAGCCCATACTTGCCTTAAGATCCAGAGATTCCCAGCTACATTGTAGCCCATATAACTCCCTAAACCTAAATGAGTGGTTAAATTTCAAGACAGCAGGTGACAAGAGCAAAGACACTTGATTAGAGAGGTAGCATAGTGTAATGACTGAGAAAGGTGGACAGAGAATGTTCTGAACCCGGCTCTGCTATTTACATGCTGTGTGACCTTTGGCAACTTACTTAACCTCTCTGTGCCTCAGCTTCCTCATTGGTAAAACTGTGATTGTAATCGGCCCCACCTATTAGGGTTGTTAAAATTAAACAAGTTTACAGTACCTGGAACATAATGTTTGTTATTATCATTTATTACACATAAGTAGAAGACACCTACATTGTCATTTAAGTTGGATAAATCTGTATGTCAATTTCTGAACATTCATTTCCAAAGTTATGTCATCTGTTCCAATAATGGGCGGTAAATGAGTGCATCATCTTTCTTCCTACACTTCTAAAACCTTATTGTACCTTTAGCTAATAAAATGGTTCAGCTGCTTCTTATCAATGACTGTTTTCAAGGAAGCTCCAAAAATGCCTGACTGTAATCAGCCTCAAGTGCCAACTTCAAACACTTCACACAGGAGTGTGTCTGCCACTCCTCTGACCGTGAGGAGCGCTCCGTGATTAAAGAACACCTCGAGGGTTCCACGCAGGTGATGATCACAGTCTCAAACACGAATAGACATCTATGATTTACCCTGTATGCTAAGACAGAAAGTCAGTATTCTTAACTTCCAAATGTGCTTGTCCTTGTCCCTTACAAAACAGAAAACAGTGCTTTGTGTTTGTCTGTTTTGTTTTTTTTTTTAATATTGGATTCTGTCAACTGGCTTAATGGGAAAAATCCACAAGGGAGGGAACGTGCATTGTTAGATGCCAGGCATGTGATGTGGAATTATCGTACAGACTTGCGGTTAACACCAAGCACGTGGCAGAGCTGGGGTCGCTGGAGGAGCCCTAATTATGGAGCTCTACTCAAGGAGCCTAGAGCAGAGGATCAGCTTAGATCGTGGTCAAGGGATGCCTTGTTTTCCTTCCTTGGCCAGTAATTTCCCTGCAGGGATCACTGAAAGGAGGGGCTGGAGTTCGGCTTTGTTAGCTAGAGTCAGTCTATGCCTGTGACAATGACGCTACCATCTAGCATGCATTTAGGGCGCTCTCTTTCTCAAGCCCAGTTAGCCCTTCGCCTATGGTTCCGTGACTCAACTCTGAGGCAAGTGGTCACAGAGTCCTAAACACAGAGCTCAGTTTTGGGTGGAGGTCGCACAACTTGGAAATCACCAATTTCGTTACATCCCTAAGTAAACCAACTGGTATATAAAAGGATCTTCAAGAGGATCGTCCAATCAAACAAAGCAAAGCCAGCTCTTAGGAGAAGTCTCCTATTGAGATTAAAAAAAAAAGCAATTAAATTTCAAAAAAGCAATTAAAGTTAATGTGGGAAAGGCAAACTCCTAAGTAGCACTCTTTGTCAAGTGTTTTAGAAAGGAAGACGCAGTTTGATGAGTGTAATGGTGGCAGTGGTCCAAAGTCCCGGTTTTTTTATGCCCGACTGTGTCAGAGTCCTTTGTCATCACCTGAATATGCCCGTGAAGCCACTGCACCTCCCTTCTGCACGCGTGATCGGAGGAACGGCACCATGATAAGGCGTTACCTGGGGAGAGCTCCACAGAAGGATGAACACTCTTAAAACAATAGGTTATGCTAATCGTGCCTCCGCTCCGCACGTCTTCCTGCTTTCACGGAACTAGGTCTTCATCTGGACATGAGAACTCAGGTCTGATCGAAACCGTTTTGCTTTCAATCCCTATATTAAAGAAGTGCCCAACCCAGTTTTCTGACTGTGGAAGCTCACCGAGAGTGACACAGTAAAAAAGCAAAACGGTTTCAATCAGACTCAAGTGCAGGAGCCCTGGTGTTATAAAACATGAGAAATGGAGTGAATCTCAGTGTGCCCAGAAACAGTCCTTTCAATGCTAACATTTTTAAATTTAAGAGATAACACAGAAAAGTTAAAAGAAGATGCCCGGTGACATTTTCGCTCATCATGATTAGAAATAATCATTTAAACACATAAAAATCCTAGCAAGGATGTTTGTCTCATTTATTTATATCAGAGAGAGTAAGGGAGTCATTTCACCTTACACACGAGGACCGCTTATTCACTCATCAATAAAACCCAGAAAGGCATTTACTATGTCTATTTAAAAAATCACAAATTAAAATGTCACATCAATTCATTTATGGCAAACTCTCCTTTCAATAATAATATATTTTAATTTTTTTTAATTGTATTTTTGTTTGGACAAAAACATTCAATTCAGTGATAGTGCTTAACATTTTCCCACTGTAATCCTGTAAGATTTTCTGTTTTAAAGAACACTAATTTTTCGTTACCTTCCTCAAACTATTGGTGTAACTACACTTCTCTTTGAAAACTGCACAATCAGGAACCACTGTATATAGTTTATACAACAAGCTAAACAATTGGCAAACATCTTATTTTCATTAATAGTAAAAAAAATGAAGTAATAAAGTCTTAAAAATTATTTCAGCTCAAAGCATAATCATATTTGCCACTCCTATAGGATTAACAAGGAATATTATTTTCCTGAGTCTTTTCTGATTCAATGCCAAACACACAATATATAATATCACCATGTCTAGCAAGTGCTAACCCTGCTGCATAAGCAGAATGCATGTCTTGGCATTTCCCTAATTCAACCCTATACTTTTGACGCACCCACTTCTCCCCAGGCATAGTCTGTTGGAGCTGCAAGGGGCTCCAGAAGCCATCTAATCTGACCCACCTTCTCCTTATTAAAATACGGCTTTAAAAACATTAAGCAAAATCTCTCAAGCATTGGCAGTAGGAAGCTACTCAGAAATAAACCTCAAGTTTGCATTCAAACTTTACCTTCGTAAAATCCCCAAGGAATCTCCCACGGCATTCTTCACTCCTTCCTTTCCAGGTTTCAGAATTTTCTCTCTGAAGGTATCAAATGCTTTAAACGGCATTTTCAATGGGGGACACACCTACAGCTGAGCCGCTAACAGCCAGTCTCAGAAACTGTCATCCTTTCACGTCTCCAGCGTGGGGACCACTTTGCTTTCCTTGATGAACACTTCGAAGTCAGTTTCCCTGCAGGTTAACTACTTAAAATCAAAAAGGAGATGAAACTCAGCCCAGATCTTTCAAGTTGAGACAACACCCTTCACCCCTCAAATAAAGAGGCTGAGGGAGGTCTGGCTGGGAATTCAGCCCCTTGCAAAGCTCCAAGCTCAGCAGCAGCTCGTGGTGCTGTCTCAGGCTGAGCACAGCCTCGCTCCTTCCTGGGCTGCAGCTGGAGCAGCTGAAGTGGGCTCCAACCCACAAGGTGCTCTGAGACCAGCGAGACCAGCGACAGCATGTGCGCCTATCTCCAGCCCCTCCTGCTGCTTCTGACCACATCCCCCTCCGGCCTCATTCAGCTTGGCTGTGATCACTGAGTGATCCTTTCCAAGGTGATGCTATAGTAACCAGCACAATACCTGCCCCTCCGCTGCTGGGACTTATTAATGGGCTCTCAGCCAGAGCAGGCACCCAGGATGGAGTGTATGAAACATTTACAAGTCCTCTGCGTTTCTGAGATCTGGCCCTGCTGACAGGCTCTCAGCCACTACATTATGACTCCGAGGCTCCTCGTGGGAGCCGTGAGCAGTTTCTCAGCCAAACGCTAGTGTGGATGTGGTCCTTGGAGAAATGCTTGTTCTGGAGGAGGCTAAGTGCAAAACACAGGCCACGGACATCTAGGGGGGCATTTATTTGCTCCTGATCAACAGGGCAGGATCTCGGCAGGTGTGATGCACAGGTGCCCCTGGGACCCTCTAATTGAAGATACCTGAGCTGGTCATGGACCTGCTTAGAACTCTTCACTGGTCCTCGTGGCCCTCAAGATAAATCCAAGTTCTTGATCATAGCACACAAAGCTCCCCATGGGGGACCCCCGGGCTTGACTGTCACTCTGCCCATCATACTGGCACTTCACTGAATTCGGCAGGCTCCCTACTGACCCTGGGGTTTGCTCAAGCGGTCCCCTCTGCCTGGGTAGCTCTCCTCACCCTTCATCAGGGTAACTTCAAGGGATTCTTAAGTCTCCCTGAGATATCACATCCTCCAGGAAGCCTCAGAGACAAAGTCAGGTGTTCGTTCCCCCATGCCTGCCAGCCACCTGTCCTCTGCCCCACAGGGTCTGGCACCTGGGGTTGGCCTGGGGTGAAATGCCACATGTTGCTCCCACATTAGTGGGCAGCAGGACGATGCCTCCGTAGGCGATGCTGCCATCTTGTCGTGTGCGTTATCAGTCATTTGCATATCTTTTTCGGATGAAATTTCTATTCAAATATTTTGCCCATTTTACATGTTTGTCTTATTACTGAAGTATATGAATATGTAGTCTCAATATAAATCCCTTATCAGATATGCCAATGTTTTTCTCAGTCTGCTGCTTAATTTCTTCATGCTATATTTTGAAATGCAAAAAAATTTCATTTTGATGAAGTCTAACTTATCTTTCTTTTTCCTTATATGGACTGTGCTTTCGTTCATATAGCTAAGAAATGGTTGCCTAACCCGAGGTCTTAAAGATTTTCTCCTATTTTTTTCTTCTAAAAGTTTTGCCTTCACTCTTACCCTTAAGTCGATGGTCCATTTTGCATTCATTTGTGTGAATAGTATGAGAAACATCTAACTTCACCTTTTTCCATGTGGATATCCAGTAATTTCAGCATGATTTGGTACAAAGACTATCCTTTCTCCAATGGAATGCCCGGGCACTTTTGTCAAAAATCAACTGAACATCAACACACAGATTATTTCTGGGGTCTCATTTCTAGTTCACTGACCTTCATGTCTATCCTTATGCCAGCGCCACAATGTCTGAACTGCAGCTTTACAGTAAGTTTTGAAATTGGAAAATGAAAGTCCTCCAACATGGTTCCTTTAATAAAATTACTTTGACCAGTCCGAGTCTTTTGCATTTTCATATAAATTTTAGGAGCAGCTTCTCCATTTCTACAAAAAGAAAATCTTGTCCAGCCCGTGCTTTTAAAAGGATACTTTCTTTGCCATCAACTTTGCTACCCACAAACCCTCAGGGCTGAGAATGCTATCACCCCGGAAATCCTACATCAAATCACTCCACTAGGTTTCCAAAAAGCTTGCTCATTCATTAGAAGCAAATGCAATCAAAATAGGATAAACATACTCTCTGGCAACAGAAAGCACCCACCGGTGGGGCTTCAAACGCGTTCCTTAATTCCCAGATACCCTTGGGTTACTAATCTTCTAGAGCAAATAATGGAAGCACTATTGGCCAAGGCCACCTGAATCTCTCTTAAGGGTCAATGACTGCTAAGAGCACCAACCATCCCTGCAGAATGTATTGCTTACAGAATACACCTGAATCGACAATAGTTTTTGGTGGTGATTTAGATGGCTGATGATAATAATAACTAACATTTATGGAGCCCTTTCTAGGTGCCAGACTTGAAGCACTTACCTCATTTAATCCCCACAACGCTCCTCAAGGTAGGAGGTTGGTATAAGGATAGTACTATCCTTATACCAACTATAGATAGGGAAACCAAGGCGCAGAGAGTTTAAGCAAACTTGCTCAAGTTCACACGGCTAGGAAACTAAGCAGAGAGGGGATATGGACCCAGGAAGTCTAGCATTAGAGCCTGCACTCTTAACCTCCACTCCAGGGCCGCTGATAGTAGAAACAATATAAAACCGGACTTTTCAGAACTGAGGCTCATTTTAATCATTTATTCACTCATATCTTTCTTTGAGGGCCTACTATGTGGCAGGCCCTTTGGAGGCGCTGGTGATAATGGTTACTGTGATATCCCCCATGAAGAAACCAACCAACCAGGAAACAAGCAGGTCCATCACAGTGAGTGCCACCCATGGGGTACAGGAGCACAGGCAAGGACCCCTGATTTAGGGGGTTAGGGGGGACCTCCTAGATGAGGGCAGGGTGGTGTAAGCTTTCAGGGATAAGAAAAAGTGAGGCAAACAGAAGGGAAAAATGTGAGAGCAGAGACTTGCATGACAGAACATGGCGCCTGGGAGAAGCTTGCACAATTTCTGAGAGGTGGCTGGTCTGCTAAGTGGAGAAAAACACAGTAGGGCAACGATCTTGAACATTATATAATTCGTTAAAACATGCTCCTATCTCAAAATATCAAATACAACAAAGGCAGAGGAAAGTAGGTGTGCAGCAATTCTCCCGGTAACTCAACGCTGGAATTGAAAAACTGCTAGTTAATCTCGCAGGACCCTGGAACTTGACTGTGTGGAGTGGCTACAGTTCACTTTATTTACTGGAGATACAGAGAACACTGGCCTGGCAAAGAGCGAGAGGAATGAAACGACCCAGCTCAGGATGTTCATGCATCTAATGCCCTGCCAGTCCCTGCCTGCCCAGACCCCGCTGCCCAACCGTGGGGTATCACGAAACACCTGCATCCTTATTGCAAATTGCTCTCTTTTAATTTACTCTGCTCCTCAGAGATAAAGACTTCTGACTATTTCAATGACTTAAAATCCACACCATGTAATACCAACACTGCTTCTGCCCAATGCCCCACAGGCAAGCCTGACCATTTGATGAGGAATCCAGTCTCCGAGAGTGAAAAAAGGGGAGCTCAGAGGCTGGTTATGAGCCAGGCCATTCCAATCTGCTACCTAGACCAAGAAAGAAAAAGCAAACAAACAAATCCCAAACCACTTGAAGATACAATATATTCAAGAAAATTAATCTAATCCAATCAAAGTGTTAGGTGGAAAATTTTAACCTGGTTTAGAGCCAATGCCCAAACTGGTTACCTTTTTTTTTTTTTTAAATAAACTTCATAAGGAGACAAGGTTCCTTCTCTCCTGGGTTCTGCACAGCTTTCCCCTTTCCACGGGTTTCCAAACAACGCCTTTCTTCACCCGACTCTGTACTCCTACCCTCCCCTGCCCCAGACCACACTGAGACCAGCACAGAAGTCTCTATTTTACCTAGGACTTCTCTCAAGCCTTTCAAATTTGAATATTGTTGGTAACTATCATTACTACTAATTGGAATCTATAGAAAACTTGTTTTTCATTGCACTTCTCCTGTATTTAATATTCATCTTTATTAATAGTCAAACCTGGACATGAAGCACTTTCAAATATTTCATTTGATTCTTACAACAACTATGTGAAACAAAACAAGCAGTTTTAATGACTCGATTTGTCCAAGGTAAGCTGTGGAGATCTCGGTCTAGATCCTTAAACCCATTTCCTGGGCTTGTGTGGTCGAGGTGCCTGGGACACTGGGATCCTAGGAGCCCACCATAGGCATGGGAGACTGCCTTAATGTAACTCAGGAAAGATGTACTCAGAATCCTTCCATCTTTCCCAATGTCATCGAGCATCTAACTAGGTGAGCTCGTGCTAGCTACTGTGAACATTTTAGAGATAAATACAACTGAGCTTGTTTTTACGATGACACAACTAATCTGCTTGCTTTTATTAAAAAGTTTCTCCAAAAAGTAGGGCAAACCAATAGTAAAATATGTATGGGGCCAGATGGGTACTTAAAATGGTGGGGGGGACCACTCTCTAAAGTACATGATTCTCTAACCACTATGCTGTACACCTGAAACTAATACAGAATAATACTGAATGTAAACTGTAATTGAAAAGGAGAGAGAGGTTAACATAACATTAGTTATGTTATGCATTAGCCTCAGGGTTGAGATTGCCACCATCTACCCAAGTCTGATAAGACACACCAATTCAAAAGAACTTATGTATCCTGATGTTCATACCAGCGTTATTTACAATAGCCAAATGCTGGGAACAGCCTAAATGCCCATCGGTAGATCAGTGGATTAAAAAACTGTGGTACATTTACACAATAAAATACTACACAGCAGGAAGAAAGAAGGAGCTCCTACCTTTTGTAACAGCATGGATGGAACTGGAGAGTATTAAGCTAAGT